ACATACCAAAGAGATTCATTAAATTAAATAAAATGGGTAATGCACATGTCCTATTGTATATCTTTTCACATAGAACAGATACAAATTAGGGGGAAAGGCAATTTTCTAAAATGTGAATGTTTTTCCAACAGAGGTGATTACTAAAAGGAAGCAAATTATTATAATCATTACTAGGTGACAAAAGAGCTTTGGAAAAAAACCCACACACACACACATGCGGCTTTTGTTGAGGTTATTTGGGAGGGAAGTGGGGAGTGACTGTGGAAGGGAGGAGGTGAGAGCAAAGAACAAGCATGGAATTGTTTCAGCTCCAAGGCTCTTTTACACCATTTTTGGCCAACCACACACACCCCTGTTCCCTTTGCTCTTTATTTCTGGCCCAAAGTTCTTCATGGTCTTAACTTTAGAAAAAGGCTCTCTCTTTACCTTACAAAGACGGCATAAGTAAGACCTTCATGAGAGATGCCACCTCAAAATGGTTTACAACCCCAGTACGTTTCCACAGTCTGCACAGAGTATCCATTCTCCGAGGGAGAAACCACCGTTGGCTGCTTCCAGCACTAGGCTAGGCTGCTCTCCAGTTACCAGGTAACTGACTCAGAATCCTGACGGTTCCCAGGCACGAACAGGTGGGGATGAGGACAATGTGGAGAATGCTGATGAATGCTGCTAGTTGTCCTTCAGTAATCATGTTTCTTTTGTTCAGTAAAATAGGACTCTTTGGTGTTTTTTTTTTTAAGGTGGGCATACAGCCAGGTGGAATAAAGGCTACAATTCTCAGTCATATTTACAGCTAGATGTGGTTTTGTCATTATATTCCTAGCCAACTGGACATAATCAGCGGCTGCTACTAAATGTTTAACCACCAGTTCTCTTTGGGAGGGAGAAGGGTGATGAGAGAGGCCAGGGTTTGGGGTGTTTGCGTTTGTAGTGTTTGCCAATCACCATGGCATAAGTCATCCCATCAAGGGTCATTTCAAGCTTCCACCCTGATGATACAGAATGCGGCGTTGGGAAGACCTGCAGCTCTCACAGGAATGCTATGAAGTAGTATATGTGATTTCTTTTATTTTTTATTTTTATTTTTTTATATTTTTATTGATTTTTCCACAGAGAGGAAGGGAGAGGGATAGAGAGCTAGAAACGTCAATGAGAGAGAAACATCAACCAGCTGCCTCCTGCACATCCCTACTGGGGATGTGCCCGCAACCTATGTACATGCCCTTGACTGGAATCGAACCCGGGACCTTTCAGTCCGCAGACCGATGCTCTATCCACTGAGCCTTACTGGGTGGGGCGTGCCCTTCCCCTCCCTCCTCACTGCTGGCCAGAATGCAGACCCCAAGGAAGAAACCCTAAGGAGGAAACTGTGCATAGAGAAATCCAGAGTCACAATGGAGAAGACTCGGTCCCTGATGCTCAGCTGCTGGGCTGGTCCTGGAATGTTCTTTTGCCAACTTAACATTTACACAACAGCTGTGAGAAAGAATAAAACTCCTATCTTGTAAATGCGACTGGTATTCGGAGTGTTCCCATTTCCCAGTGGAACCTACCACAGCTGAGGGCATCATGTGCACTAAATAAGGTAACTAAACAAAGCGAGGGTCATATCTGGTGGGATCACAAAGGATCCAAATTTGAAACAACAACAAAAAGAAATGTCTGAGCCTTTCTGGAGGGGACTAAGAGGATGGAGGGAGAATCACATATGGGTGAAGAGAGCAGCCAAAGGAAAAGGGATGAGCAAAGATGGCTCTCGCCTCTCCGCACCCCAGTACCTCCTCTCCAGCCTGCAGACCCAGCACAAAGAGTGAGCGATCCCAGGCCAACAAGGCTGCCTCCTCACACCCAGGGGCCAGCCTCCACATACGGGCAGCCATAGGGGACGACTCCTTCACCAGGGGCAGTCGAATCCTCTGCCTGAGAAAGAGGGCCTGTTCTCAGATCTCCTTCTTCCAGAGCAGTTTTACAAGGTCTGGAGGAGAAATGGTACATGCAGGTCACTCAGGGGACAGTCTGAATGGACTTGGGCAGCAGTAGGCAGGGTAGCATACCTGCCTTTCTGGAATACATTTGCAATGTATTGCTCAGGCCCAGGCTGGCCTGTTACTGTCTTTGTATTGTACAGAGGGATCCAGACAAACACTGAATGACTTACTTAAAATATAGGTAAAATTTATTACCTGTTCTCAAAAGTTAATATGCAAAGAGAAGATAATGTCACAGGTATATTCTTATTGTGGGCAAAAAGGGGGCTCTACAATAAACCTGACAGGCTCAGGGGGCCACATGGCAGGCCTGACAAGCCCAGTGACCAAAAGTAACCACACAGGATGGTCCGATCCCAAATCCCTAACTGGGTAGGTCACAGCAGGTAGTCCCGTCCCAGGCCTACAGCTTCCTTAGCAAAAGTCAATCCTCACTTTGTGGAGCTCTGTCCACTGCTCTTACGCATCTGGGATAACATACCTTTGAAATGTCAGAGTAATTTTCTTTTCTTACCCTTCAAAGACACAGGCACCGGCACCAGACACCAGGCCACACAACCCTCATTGTCATATTATTCCCTGCATACCATCTGTATGTGCCATAAATGTTCATTATTAACTATCCTGCACCACAAATGCAAAAGTATGTGTTTATCCTGTCCCCTTAATCTACTACTAATGGATTTCATGCACCTTTCTTAGATCTCCTTTATTCTTTTTTTTATTATTAATTTTTATTAGAGACAGAGAGAGAGGAAGGGAGGGAGGCTGGTGGGAAGGAGGAAGAAGGTAAAGGAAGAAGAGGAGGAAGAAAAGGAGGAGGAAAAGAAGAGGAGAGAGAGAGAGAAAAAAAAAGAGAGGGAGAGAAAGAGAGAAAAACATCAACCCATTGTTCTGATCATCTATGCATTCATTGGTTGATCCTTACATGTGTCCTGACCAGGGATCGAACCTGCAACCTTGGTATATTGGGACAACACTCTAACTGAACTACCCAGCCAGGACAAATCTCCTTTGATTGTAATGTATAAAATAAACTGCAAGAGTGCCCTTCTCCAGACCAGCTGAGATCTTGCTCTCCAGCATCTGTTGTCAGCTTGGCAAAAATAAACTCATAAAAATTCTCTGCAGGTTTGGGCATTTCCTGATTCAGCCAACATTATCAAATTCCCAAACATCGTCTCCAGGGAACAGGTGTGCACATGTCAAGCAAGCAGCTCAGCAATGCTGAGTATCTGAGTGCATAGCTATGCCACTCTGGGGATCCAAAATGGAGTTTTCCATTCGCTCTCCACCTGACAAGTCTCTGACTGCATTTATTCGACTTCAGACTGAAGGATTCTTGTGCAATCTGCATGACTTCCAGTCTCTCCTTACCAACCATACCCACCTCCCTCCCAACACTGGAGATGCTATGAACCTGAGTTGGAGGTTGGAGGTGTGTGTGTGTGGGGGGGAGACACTCGCAGTGACAGGAAGGTGAGGTGGGGAGAGGGAGGTGGGGCAGAGTGACAGAGTGACAAGCACAAGTCAGCAGAGAGGAAGCAGCCTGCCAGTGCATACGTGATAAACACCTGAGCCTGAGAGGTTTTGAAAGCAACTCAACAAAGCACAGTCTAGTTCTAAGATAAAAACAAAGCAGAAAGGAAACTTTCATTCACATACCCTCTGGTCTCCTGTCAGTAGTTCACATGTACAGGGCCAAGAATCTTTTCAAATATCCACAGATACTTGCTGCAAATATCTGAGGAATGATCATTATCACTTGTAAATCAGAACTCTAGGCACTGGATATATCAATCTAGGTCACATCCTGACTCGGGCATTTAGCAGGTGTAACAAACACATACACTGCCTAGCCTCAGTTTCTCCAGTTAAAATGGAGATCATCAAGGGTACTTTTTCAAGATGGTGGTAAAAATTAGAGAGAATTGACATAAAGCACAGTCGCATGGCCAAGGTCTACACAAAAAATTATTCTACAAGTAAGAGCTATCTAAACATTAGGTGAAAGGAGAATATATTGGTTGTTGTTGTAGACAATCAAACACCAAAACTAAGATAGTTTGATGGCATCATAATTGGTACAAACTGAAATGAACCAGCATATAGAACATAATCTGCACATCGATAATCCGGGTCCCCAACAGAGGCAGGTGAGATGAACTCAGTCAAAATCTAGCATTGTTCCTCCCTCTCTATTATGTAAACTCTATTTTCATTTTCATACCACTGTCCACTAACCTATTTCTGCACCGCCCCTCTCCCCCTCCCCCCACATACACACTGCTCCCAATAGCACCTCTGTTCTCTTGTGCAAGAAGGGAAATTCTGCTTTCTACTTTTGAATGGAGGTCAGACCATTATAGACTATCCATATCATCCCTCTGTAGCTTAAAACTTTGTGGGGGGAAAAAAAAACACACTATAGATTACACTGACAATTCAATTTCTAGGGGGTGAACTTGAAATCAAAATTTTCTAAAAGCTAAATTACCATGTGTAGTCAGAAAATGTGTATCTAAGCAAGCTGTTTGCTTTGCTCAAATATAATTCTGAATAAAAGAAGAAAGCTGCTTCTGAAACCCAATATTCAAATGAAACAGAAAGGACCCTGAGGAATAGATCAGAAAGGGTACAGGAAGGGGTGTGGGAAACAGCCCGGGAATGAGGCTGTGAGCTGATTAACGGGGGTGAGAGTTAATTCTTCAGGAACAAGTTAGCAAAGATGAATGTGGGTTAAAAACACCCGGACTTTGCACTAGTGTCGCCCATCGTATGACTTCTGCAAAGATTTGAGCCAGCCAATTACATTACAAAGCACCTAAATTATTTTTGTAGTTTGTTTATTTCAAGTGTTGTTTGTTTATTCAAGAAACCACTTCTAGATGTCTTAGTTATGTACCAATGCTGTGGAATTTTCCCAAGTGATGACATTTTACATCGGGATGCTTGCTTTGAACCACTTCAGCTAAAACTAAAAGTCAAACAGAGGCAAGGAAATGAACTCACTTGTCAAACTCATCAAAGAGGTCACAGCTCTGCAGTCTTGAAAGAGCAAGTCGAAAATATTCCGCTAGAAAAACAAATGAAGTTCTGTGAGTGAAAGGAATTGTGGCTTCTTGGGTACATAGGAAGCCACCTTTTCCTCTACTTGTTCCCCAAAGCCATTACAACTGGTGTAGCTACATTTCATTTCTCCTGAGATGAAGATTCATGATACAACTGCATTTAGCCAGCACTACTTAATAAGCACATCACAATGGTCAATGCTCTGAGGATATGAAAAATAAGGGGCTTTGTGGGAAAGCAATCTTAAAAAGTAATCCCCAAATTAGCAGAATCAGATAATTCTAAAATTAAAATCAGTATAGAAATCAATATGCAGCAAGTTTATCCTTATTGAATTACCAAATTCTCTGCAATACCCTTTTAAAACACACACACACACACACACACACAATCAATAAGCAAAATTTAAGTCAGAAAACTTAGGCTTGTCACCTTCTGGGCTTTTAGAGTCTCCCCAAAATGGAGAACATAAAGTTGTGTGAGCCAATCAGGTATCAGGCAGAGGGGAAAGTGTCTCATTATTAGTGAATGAAATATTTCTCTCTAAATTTAGCAAAAATAAAACATCCACTGATTAAATTTTTTAAATTTAATCCAGCTCTTCGGTCAAGGAGCTAGAACTTGCTGATGAAATAAAAGAAAACTCACAAGTAACGAGGTGAAGTGGGAGATGGGGAGGAAGTTAACACACAGAGTTATCCTGCTAATTCTAACTGGAATAAGATAAGGCATCAGGACTCATTAACAATGCGGTGGCAGAACAAAAGTATAAATTAGTGTCTTAACAACAATAAAAATCTACCTTTTTAATCCTCTTATTCTATCCTGCCTCAAAAGGAATTCTATACTAAAATGGATTCCCTCTTCCCATCCCAAAAATAATATCTTTAGAAATCATTATGAAACAGAAAGATCAAACGACCTATTTTTATATAAACATGCAGTGCACATCAAACACCACTCATTTTCAATAGGGCAAGGAAAGAATAACATTACTGACCTGATGTCCTCATCCCATAGGGCAAATCAAACTTATCACTACCATATAAGGAAGCAAGCTTTTTAAAATCGGCTGCACAAAGAAAAGGGTGAAACTGTTGAAACCTGGAAGATAAGGATAAGAAATGATTTTCCCAAGTGCACATGACATTGGTAGGCTTTTGAGTCACAACTGAAAATAACTGTAGCATATTACTCACGTTGTTATATTGACTATATAAATGTATAATTATTTTTTAAATTATTTAAAATCACCTTAAATAGTATTTAAATATTACATAGACCAGGATATGCAATGGAACTACATGACCAGCCTAGAAACACTTTCCAGGTAGTGGAACCAAAACTACGTAACAGCAAAAGGGGCGGGGCTTGGGGAACAAAATTTTAAAACAAACCAACACCAAGTGATAAAATGTTAGCTGCCATACACAGAAACAAAGGAACTAATAAGGAAAAATAAAAATATGGATGCCAACCTATTCCCAAAAGTAAAGGCACTGTACGTATGAATGTGTCAACCATGAAAATAAAGTATACATTAACATTAGATATAGCTAGAAGTAAATTCCTGATATCATTAAATTAAGTTTAACTGAAGAACAAGAACCCCAGGCATTTTTCTATTTACTGCCTGTCTGTCCAGGTGCTCTCTCAAACAAAAGAATGTTTGATGAGGCTAGGGGGTGCCTCTGCTTTTTCTCACTTTTAGTGGCTGGCATAGAGTAGGCAGACAACATACATTTAATAAATGACTGAATGAATTCAAACTTTAAAGTAATTCTTTATACAACCATTATTTAATAAAATTTTTATAAGTTTTAATTAAAGAAAAGGAGTAGGTAACATGCTATTTTTTATCTACTAGAAGGACTGAATGCTATGGAGCAAACCAAACGAATCCTCCCCCCCAATGCCCACACAGAGTCCCCTCTGTCCAGACTCATCACCTTTGCTTTCTCCTAGTCTAAAAACTACATGTGGAATTCAGAGTGCCCCTTACAGTATATTTCAGAGGCTACAGACAGAATGGAGTAGGGGTGAACTGGCTTCAGATTATCCTGGCTTTGCCACTCATGAGCCACTAACATTTTTCAGAGCTGAGCTAAAAACCTCACATGTACTCAGGCTAAGGAAACAGGTGGGAGACCAGCCCTTCCTGCTTTACACATGATGTGTTTCCCAGATTTAGTTGTCATAGTGATAGCAGCCTTGTAGGTCCAGCCAATCTTGAAAGGTCCTACGGATACCAGGATGGATGCCCAAGTTCAGGATCTGCTCTGAGAAGATGAAGTGTCAAGGAGACACAAGATCTCCCTAACCTGGGAAAGTGAACCACAGATGACTTTGCATCCAGAGAGCAAGGCAATAAAGGACTCTGTTCTTTGGAGTCAGTAGGGGTGATGACCAATGACTAATGTCTATTGCCAGTCAAACCTTGTGCTAGATGGCTTACATTTTATTTCTAAATGAAGTAATAGTTTGGCACTATGTCATAAGCACTGTATATGCTCATGATCAGCCTTATCTGTAATAATTATATATTATATAGTAAATCAAGCATGTTAAATTCAAGGCCCACAACAAATTTTTGCGACCCTGCGAATATAATGGTATGTAAGAAACATTTTAATAGGAGATTAAAAATGGGGGCAGCCCTAACCGATTTGGCCCAGTGAACAAAGCGTTGGCCTGCGGACTGAAAGGTCCCAGGTTCAATTCCGGTCAAGGGCATGTACCTTGGTTGCAGGCACATCCCTAGTACGGGGTGTGCAAGAGGCAGCTGATCGATGGTTCTCTCTCATCCATTGATGTTTCTAACTCTCTATACTTCTCCCTTTCTCTCTGTAAAAAAAAATCAATAAAATATATTTTTTAAAATATATAAATAAAAATGGGGGCAGAGTAAGTGGATGCTGCATAGACAAGTTCCCAGGATCAAACTGGTATTATAACTAAAATACAGAAAAGAAAGAAAAAAAAAAGCTGAATAATCAACAGAAAACTCACAGGAGAGAACCCTAATACCCAAGGATCGAAAGTGGAGACCACTTATAGAGACTGGTAGGAGGGGCTGAAGTGCAACATGACTGGCCAGGCACCCATGGACAGCAACTGAAGTCCCAGAGAGTTATCTCAGCTGTGGGGGGTTGCCACTGAGAATCTAATCCCCAAGCTGTCCCTCCTCCACCTCCCCATCAGAACACCAAAACTGAGGATAGTACCCACATGACATCGGGCTGTGAAAAGCAGCAGGGGTGCTGCCTGCCAGAGAGGAACAGCTAAAAATCCAGGCAACCTCTTAAAGAACCAACGCACAGAATTCCAGGTGAAGCCACCCACCTTGTACTCCTGCAGAAGGAGCACGAAGTGGACTGGAGCTGTGAGAGCAGAAGCCATGACTAGGGTCTTGGAGGATAGAGCTCAGAAGGCAGACACCTCACGTTTTCTGGACTGGGTTATTCCCTCACACAACAGAGGACATCTTTCCCACATAGACATCTACCTTGCCTGGGGAGAAGACAGTCCTCACACCCTATTTGAAAACACCTTGCCCTAAGGCCACTTAAGAGATTAAAATTAATTAGCCTCTGGGCAGAAGCAATTGTCCCAACCTATTGAAAACAACTCTTGCCACACCTAAGGATGATTGCCTAGGGGGCAATTGAAATCAGAATCCTATCAGTCTTGTAGGCAGAGGTAGTCTCTAGAGGCTGTCTTTTCCTGATCTAATTAGTCAGAAACAGCCTTTAACACTGTCTTGCACTAGAGATTGAAAGGTGTAGAGATCAACATGATACATAGTCACAAACCCAAACAAAAAGGCAAACTGAGGAGTTAAAAAAACAATCCCCAAGTGAAAGAACTAGAGAATTCTCCAGGAAAATAGATAAATGAAGCAGAGATAAGAAATTTAAATGAATCAGAGTTCAGAATACTGATGGTAAAGATGCTCAACAGCTTGAAAAAAATATTGTAACTATGAAAAAAGAACAGTCTGAGATAAAGAATGACATAACACAAATAAAGAACACACTGGGAGGAATACACAGCAGATTAGGAAAAGCTGAGGATCGAATCAGTGAATTAGAAGACAGAGTTGAAAATATCAGTCAATCAGACAAAAACAAAACAAAACACCAACACAGGAGGACAACTTAAGGGAGCTGTGGGACAATGTTAAATATAACAATATTAGAATAGCAGGTGCACCAGAAGAGGCAGAAAGGTTTAAAAAAAAAAAAAAAAAAGTCATAAAGAAGGTGGTTGAAGAAATAATGGCAGAAAACTTCCCTAACCTGGTAAAGGAAAAAGTCACACAAGTCCAGGAGGCACAGAGAACCTCAAACAAGAAGAACCCAAACACGCCCATGCCCAGATAAATCTTAATTAAAATGTCAAAAATTAAAGACAAAGAGAAAATCTTAAAGGCAGCAAAAGAAGAAAAAACTGTTACCTACAAAGGAGTTCCCATAAGGCTGACACCTGATTTCTCATAAGAAACCCTACAAGCCAAAAGGGAATAGCATGAAGTACCCAAGGTAATGGAAAGCAAGGACTTGAGACCAAGATTACTATATCCATTAAGACTATCATTTAAAATAGACAAGCTGGCGGGGGGTGGGGGGGGCAGGAGGAGGGGAGAGAGGGGCAGTAAGGGGCAACCAGGCAGACAGGTGAGCAATTAGGAGCCAGTGGTCCAGGTTTGAGAGAGGGATGTCCGACTGATGATTTAGACCTGATCCCATATTGGGCCAAAACCGGCAGTCGGACATCCCCGAGAGGTCCGGGATTGAAGAGGGCGCAGGCTGGGCTGAGGGGACCACTCCCCATGCATGAATTTTGTGCACCAGGCTTCTAGTTATATTATAATGTATCATTATTACATTATATTTCTGCTATTTTACACCTACAAACGCTTGGAAGGGCGGGTAAAGTCTATGAATCCATAGAAGTGAAGTAACTAATTAACTGCTTACAGCACTCCGGGCTTCTCAGCAGAGCTGCTCCTGATTCCTCCTTGCAGAGGAGATCACACTGCCCCCAGCGAGTACAACTCACAGGACAAGTGCCAAGTCTACTTGCCCATTACACTGTGGACTTCTGAACCTGCTGAGCAAAGCTACATAAATGCTTTAACCCTTTAGGGTTTCCTCAGAAAGGATATAAAGTTGAAGAATACCTTGATTCTAGAGTAGCATTTTAAAGCTTCAGTCTGCAAACCACAGGTGGTTCATGAAATCAATTTTGTGACTCATGATCAACTTTTTTTTTTTTTTTAACTGATTTCTCAGAGAAAGGGAGAGAGAGAAAGAGACAGAAACATCAGTGATGAGAGAGAATCATTGATTGTCTGCCTCCTCCACGTCCCCTCCTGGGGATGGATCCTGAAACCCCGGCATATGCCTAAATCGAACCATGACCTCCTGGCTCATAGGTCAAACACTTAAATAGTCTCTTTTCTATTTTTTAAGTAAATAGAGCAGAATATAGGGCATCTTGAGTAAGAAAGGTAAAAATTCTTCTCGTTGTAAATATGCATGTATACTAAATTATAAAAGTAAAATGTACTTTCATATGGGTCATGGTCAAAAAAAAGTATAAGATCTTCTTCAAGTCTTTCAGTGGCCCTAACCAGAGATCTCCCATGGACAGACTGCAAGCAGTGGTGGCTCACCTATAACCATATACAGAACTAGTTTATATATCTGCAGGTTTCCAGAGATTTTAGTGAGATCTGCAGCTCCCAAAAGGTAAAGAACTAGTATCGAAAAGGTGCAATAATATAATAAAACAAAATAAAAACAGAAAATGTGATTTTTGTCCTAATAGATAAGAAGTTTTTTTAAAAAAAACAACCTCATGCCTATTTTATACAATTAATCATGCCCAGACTAGATAATTATTTATTGTTCCTTATCTAGGATCATCTTGACTAGCCTATTAAAATTGAGGTGGTAGAGGCAAAAAGTTATTTGTGGATGGAAGAGTAAATTCCCTACAAGTCCTGACAACCATGATGAACAGTCATCATTTACATTCTGTATAGATCAATGTGTAGTTCATTAATAGTCCATGCAAGTTTTAACTGAAAAACTTAACCTACAGGGGAGGGGGAAGAAGCCACAAATAAGGAAGGAAGATAAAATGGGGACAGAAGGTGGGGGGAATAAAACCCTAAAACATGGTTCCCTTTTCTATGATCAAACCAAATAGACCTCTCTAATCTCACCTGTGCGAAAGCAACACTGGTCTGATTGCATCCTTCAGTGACTTTTCTTAACATGTATGCAGGGCTCTGACTAACACACAAAAGGAGACGGGAGATCCAAGCTCTTCCTTAAATGTAGGGTGTCCGCATTACAGCACTAAGCTTTGTGTGGGAAGGAAGGAAGCCAGGTTAACTGGAAATGATTGCAAACACATGCCAAACACTTGGCATGCCACTTTGCATGGGTTTACCTCAGGAGAGAAGCAAATGCTGGCTTTGATGAACACTGCTGGATCTTATTTCTTCGTTTCATTTCCACAGGTGGCACCCTGCAAGACAGAAAGCATTGGTCAGAAAGCAGAGCCGGGCAGCAGGACTACAGGGAAGCAAACTCCCTGGGAGCTCGGTGCCACCACTGAGCCGCCTCTCAGGCAGGAAACCAAGGTCCTCACAGCAGCCCCGAGCTGTGACAGCACCTCCTCCAAGTCCTGCGCACATGTGAAGATTTCTGGATGCACGGCAAGGGAGATGGGAAAGGTACTGAGCGGCCCAGGGTGAATTGAAGGCACTCTGGAAGGGCCTAGGTTACTGTGCTGTGGAAGCCACAACTGGCTCTTTTCAGACATCCCCCAGGGCCTGAGAAACCTAGTGGACCCTCAGTGCACATGGCTATATGGGTCCTCCCTACCACTGTGACAGGAACACGGACGAGCAGGTGGCACTCACCCTGCCTCGTGATCCGGTGACTCCACATGTCACACTGCTCAGAGTCATGTCTAACTCTCCTCTGTCCCTGGCACAGGTAAGGCCTGTGTGTCTCCTGAATGGATCACTGTCTCCACAATTTGAAAGGGCATTGTGAATGGCAGAGAAAACAAAAATAAGAGAAGGGGATAGGGTGGCAGGTGCCAGGCTTCGTCAGGAAAGCAGAAAACAGCTTACTATAAAAACATTCATGGCCATCCATTATGTGATGAATTAATCTAACAAGAAAACGAATCCATCTTCTTCTATAATTCACAGGACTGAGACTAAAACAACAGCCTACACTCCTCATGGATAGACTCAGTTTTCAATTTTGAGGCAATACCAAATCCTCCTAGCTAGCACTGCGAGGTTCCTGAACTCTGAGGCCAGTAATATCCTTATGCAGAGGGCACTTTTGTGAATACCATAAGTGGCAGGAATCCCTTGACTTATATGTAAGGAAGATACATAAATATGGTAGACTAGCACATCAGGTCATAAAAACTTTATTCGGAGGACAAAATGAAGTATTCTGCTTAATTTCTAAGGTTATTAAGAGATACAGACCGAACTGTTTTAGATCATGAAGAAAAATTTTGGATGACATTTTAAAAAAGACAATAATCTGTCTTAATAGTTGTGTGTGCGAGTGTGAAATCTTTTTATCATCAGGGCATTCATTACACCTTTTTCAGAACAAGTATAATTTTCAGAAATTATACGAGGCAATGTTTTATTAAATATCAGCATTTGGCAATGTTTTGTTTAGCTGGAATATTATTTCAATTATAAAAACTATCTCTGGGCACAAAAAAATAATCAAAAATCTTATTGAATTTCACTTGCTTTTACAAATGCCCTAAGAAGAAGTCTTAAACTAAACAAATTTTAGGCAGAAAAATACTTAATTTTTAAATAGTTTTGTATACTATTTCTGTGGTTTGTGTACATTTTCACCTGGTTTCTTTTATAGAAAACCTAACTAAAGTTTATCACATTAATCATTGTAAAATAAAGGCAAGAACTAATCAACTTAGAACAAAAATACTCTATTAGCAACCACTGCAAGTATAAAAGATCTTTTGTTAACTGGTTTATAATTAACTGCTACAAACTATAAAACAAAATACATTTACTGGATCACTTTTCCGAACGCAGCTGCTCTTTGCCTCCCAAAATGAGGGTTTACCATAAATAAAAGCCGCAAAGTAATTCATGTGGTGGTTAGTTCAGATCAATGCTTATTGTACTTTTCTTCTTCCTTATTGCCCAAATAGCACAATGCACCCTATTATTAAAAAACCTGGGATTTGTAACTCAGATCAAGTCATTATTTGAATAGTTTCAAATGATGTACAGCTCCTCATGTAAAAACAATGTTTTGTGGTCACAATTACTTAAAAAGTAATTCTATTCAAATAACCTGGCATATCATGCCTTAGCAATAACAAAACCATGATTTTGACACGTGGCCATTTATAGGTTAGGTCAGTGGATGGCAAACCGCAGCTTGCGAGCCACACGCGGTTCTTTGGCCCCTTGAGTGTTGCTCTTCCACAAAAACACGACCTGGGCGAGTCTATTTTGAAGAAGTGGCATTAGAAGAAGTTTAAAAAATTCGGCTCTCATAAGAAATTTCAATCATTGTACTGTTGATATTTGGCTCTGTTGACTAATGAGTTTGCTGAACACTGCCCTATACTGACCTCCTGAAAGACATGCTGGGGAGGAGAGCTGGAAGTGACTCATTTAAGGCTACGAGGGGGTGGTTTGATAAATTTAAGAAAAAAAATGTTTCCTATATAAGGAAGATTAAAACAGGGAATCATGTGGGGGTCTGCACCCAATTAATTCAGTTTGCATTCTTTCTACTGAGAAAAAAAATGATTCAGTTTCAAACAAATTGCTTCTTGAACAAATTTCCAGGATGAATTAAGTTCAAGAACCAAGGTTCCACTATAGTTTTTAAGGAAGCAAGTTCACAGCAACATCTATTTGAGGTAACTTCCTACTGTGCTTTCTGCGACTGGAGTAAAGCATTAACTCAGGAGTGACATGAACATTCCTCAAATCCTGGTTATAAAAGACTGTGCTGGCCCTAGCTGGGAGCTCAGTTAGTTAGAGCATCACCCAGATATGCCAAGGTTACAGCTTTGATCACTAGTCAGGGCACATACAAAAATCAACCAATGGACCCTGCAAAATTATGCCACACAATTCTGCTCTCTGAGATCTTCTGAGGAAGTGCTATTTAAGGAAATCTCACTGAGAATCACTGGAGGACTCTAGAAGCTGAAAAAGTTGATATTCACAGAAGGTTTTGTAAAAGCAATATAATAGCTGGTGACAATTCACAGCCGGGAAGGCAGAGGATGCCTGGAGAATGGTAGGATCAAGATCTGGGCTGGAGAAAGACTCGTGAACACCAGGATGAGAGGGTTAGAAGGAACCTGCACTGCACCAAGTCCGTGTCCCTTGAGGAGAGGCATGAAACCTGACTGTGGAAAGAAGTCCACAGGGCTGATGGTGGTAGCGGATTCTAGATCTAAGTCCATAACTGCAAGAGGCTGAGCCCTGAGGGGTGGCCTGAATCACTGCCAGAGCCGAACAGTACCAGGGGGTGAGGGTGGGGGTGCAGGGAAAGAAACTAGCAGTTGCATGGTTGTTTTGCCTCTGTTTGGTCTTGGCTTTTATTCACTAAACCCAGTTCATAGGACCTTTCAAATACAAACACTCACCCGTGGCTGTGGTTCAGGTGGAGGTGCGGACTTGTGGAGTCTGGGGAAAGACTGTGGAGGAAAGTGAGTCAGGGAGAGTTGACCAGAAATCCAGGACTGGGACATTCCTGACCCTCCAAACCAAAGCAGCCATTTTTCTCCGAAAAGCCAGCCCCTCCCAGCAGCCTCAAGGGAGATAATACAGGCACACCGAGACTAAACCCTAAGTGGAACAAAGGACACAAAAAAATCTGAATAGCCCTGAAGAGTCCTCAGGGACTGGATTGAATAGAGGTCTTTCAGTCCCAGAAAGTGATACAACAACAGTGTCCCTACGTATAGCCCTGTCAGAAACAGTTACTTGAGAGATTAAGATTGACAGCAGGGAGACAGGCTAAGTGGGAAGACTGGTCCCACCAGGTTACAGTCAAGGCTGTGGAGATAGACACAAACAGAGGAGCAATGTGGATCACTTGGAACTTCAACACAGTGGTGACTACCTAACAGGAAACTGAGAAATGGCAGACAGAACGGAAGAGTGGGATCTTAAACCAGCCCCCATGGAGCATTAAAACTTGGCTGAAACAAATGACACTTTACTTTTTCATTTTATTTTTTCTTTAACTTTTATTAAATTTTTTCTTCTTTATTTTCTTGTTTATTCTTTTTTACTGTTTTCATATTTTTTATTTATTCTATTTTTATTGCTATTTTATCTTAATTTTCTTATTTTATTTATCTTTAAATTTTCCCCCTTTCTTTTTTTCTTATCCACTCATTCTCTTTCTAACGCCTCTATACTGAACTGAGGTCCTCCATTTATTCATTCAATTCCTTAACTTTACTTTCTGTATATAAGTTCTCCTCTACAGATTCTGGCCACCTCCTTTTTTTTTTTTTTTTTTTTTTTTTCCCCCTGGGTATTCGTTGTTTGTATTTTTTTGGTTTATCTGTTTGTTCTGTGTGGGGGGTTTTTCTCCCTATATATTTTTTTTCTTCCTTTTCCTTCTTTCTCTTTGCTGTCTTACCTTTTTCCTTTTTTTCATATTATTTTTGCTTTCTTCTCACTCTCTTAATTCCTTTTCTCTGGTGGTCATTTATATTAAGGTTATTAGTTATGAGTACATTTGTGTTTTGTTCCCTTTGTGTCATTTTTGTCGAGTTGTATTTTGTGCTGTTTGGTCAATGTGATAGAGAGTGAGCCACATAATCAGACACTCTGAGAGAAGACTCTATCCACAACAGTACAATAACAATCAAGACCCAACTACACCAAGAGAACCCAAAATCACAAGAAGGGGCATCCCTAGATTATCCAGCCCAGAAGACCAGAAAGATTGTACCACTGAGTCCCACAAAACATCTACTATATAAGACAAACTCAAAAAATCTGGGGGGCATAGCAGTTTGATCTACCGTTTCCCCGAAAATAAGACAGTGTCTTATATTAATTTTTTCTCCCAAAGTTGTGCTAGGTCTTATTTCCAGGGGATGTCTTATCTTTCCATGCGCTAGGTCTTATTTTCGGAGCATGTTTTATTTTCGGGGAAACATGGTAATACATAGTAACAATCAAAGGAACAGCAAAAATGGGGAGACAAAGAAAAAACCCCATATGAAAGAAAAGGAGTAATCACAGGAAAGGAAATAAACAAAATGGAGGAAAGCAATTTGTCAGAGAAAGAATTCAGAGCAATGGTTAAAAGGACACTAAAAAGGATGGAAGATAAATTCAACAACATGTATAAGAATCAAGAGGAAATTAAGAAGAATCAAGAGGAAATGAAGAATGGCATAGCTGCAATGAGGAACGCAATGGAAAGTTTCAACAGTGACTAGAAGAAGCTGAGAATTGCATCAGCGAGTTAGAAGAGGTCTAAAACACCACCCAAGCACAGCAGGAACTGGAAAGAAAACTTAAAAAGCAGAAGAAGGGCCTAAGGGAGCTTTGGGACAATGCAAAACAATACCACATCCATATAATAGGGGTTCCAAAAGGAGAGGAAGCAAAAAATAGAAAACCTGTTTGAAGAAATAATGACAGAAAACTTCCCTAATATTGAAAAGAAAAAAAGCCACACAAGTCCAAGAAGCACACAGGGAACCAAACAAGATATACCCCAAAAGACTGACACCAAGACAGAACATAATTAAACATCAATGACAAAGTGAGAATCTTAAAGGCTGCCAGATAGAGACAGAAAGTTACTGACAAGGGATATCCATTAGAATTTCAACTGATTTCTCAACAGAAACACATCAAGCCAAAGGGAATGGAATGAAAAATACAAAGTGATGCAAAGCAAGGGACTGAATCAAAGAATTATTAGGTCTAGTAATAATTAATGTTGTTTTCTAATACTTTTTAAAATCGAATTTATTTAAACAATACAACAAAATTTAATCAACAATGTAGTTGCTGTTGTTTTCTACTACTTGTGCCCAATGCTCAGGAAGCATTTTAATCCCTCTGTTGTAAAATTCTTGTGATTTTGATGCAAAAAATTCGGTCAATACATTTTTGAGGCATTCTTCATTATTAAATTTTTTTCCAAGAAGAAAGATTTGCAAAGAACGAAACAAATGATAATCGGAAGGGGCAATATCAGGAGAATATGCAGGTTGAGGGAGAACTTCCCATTCCAACTGGCGCAGTTTTTCAGCAGTGATTCTTGCAGTATGCGGTCGTGCGTTATCGTGGTGAAGAATTACGCCCTTCCGATTAATCAGCGCGGGTTCTTTTTCTCTTAAAGGTTGGGCTAACCTTTCCAATTGGGCACTATACACTGCACTTGTAATGGTTTGGTTAGATGGTAAAAGTTCATAATGAAGAATTCCTTTAAAATTCCACCAAACACACAACATCACTTTTTTCGCATGCAAGTCAGGTTTTGGCGTGGGCTGCGGAGCCTCATATTTGACCAACCATTGAGGCCGCCTTTTCAAATTAACATACAGCACCCATTTTTCATCTCCGGTAACAATTTGCTCTAAAAACGGCAAACGGTTTTGACGAGAGAGGAGCGAACTGCAAATTGTGACTGATTACGGTTGTTGTCGGTCAACTCATGAGGAACCCATTTTCCAAACTTTTGGACTTTGCCAAGTGCACGCAATTGATTGGAAATTGTTTTTTGTGAACAATTTAAAGTTGTCGCAAGCTCTTGTTGGGTAATTTGAGGATTCTGCACCAAAAGAGCTTGAAGAGCTTCTTGATCAAAATTGGACACACGGCCTCGACCACTCTTGTCATCTAACGAAAAATTTCCCTCCCGAAATTTCTCAAACCAACGCTGGCATTTTCTGGCACTAACTGCATCTTGACCAAGAGCACTACAGATGTTTTTTGCAGCCTCACTTGCTTTTCTTCCTAATTAGAACTCGTAAAGCATGCAGTGCCGAATATGCTCTTCATCCGCCATCTTCTTAGCCCTAGTTTTGCAACAAAAACCAAACCAAACACAAACTTTTTCAAGCAAAACTTGTTAATTGCACTTCACACGTTCTGTAGATACCACGTGTTTGAAGGTTATGTCAATACAAGTCAACGCCAAGCAAGATTTTAAACAAATGTTTAAAAACGACATTAGTTATTACTAGACCCGATAGTATCCAAAAAAAGGCTAAGGAAGTTTATTACCACCAAGAAAGCAATGCAAGAAATGCTAAAGGGACTGCTGTAAAAAGAACAAATTTGAGGAAGAAGAAACACAGGCATAAAGAATGAAAATGGTGACAAACAAGTACTTATCAATAATAACCTTAAGCGTAAATGGATTTAATGCTCCAATCAAAAGACATAGGGTAGCTGAATGTATTAAACAACATGACCCATATATTTGCAGTCTACAAGAGATCCACCTCAGAACAAAGGTCTCACATAGACAGAAAGTGAAGAGATGGGAAAAATTTTTTCAGGCAAATGGAAATTAATAAAAAGCAGGGGTAGCAATACTTATATCTGACAAAATAGACCTCAAAGTGAAGGCCATATCAAGAGATAAGGAAGGCCACTTCATAATAATAAAGGGATTGATACAATAAGAGGATATAACTCTGGTAAAGATATATGCACCTAATACAGGAGCACCCAAAAAAAAATATATATATATATATCGATATATCAAGGGATAAATCTACAGCAATAGATTTACATAATCATAATAGGGGACTTTAATACCCTACTGGATAAATCCTCTAAACAAAAAAATCATCAAAGAAACAGCAATCCTAAATGCCTCACTAGATCAGATGAAATTGACATCATCAGAACACTTCACACCAGAGCTACCGAATGTTCATTTTTCTCAAGTGTACATGGGACATTTTCAAGATAGACCACATATTAGGACACAGGCAAAGTCTCTTCAAATTCAAGAAGGTAGAAATCTTAAGCATCTTCTCTGATCACAATGACATAAAATCAGAAATCAGCTATAATTAAATCAATGACAGATGAATTCAAACAGTTCATTGTCTTCACCATTTCTCCTAGGACAGCAATGTATTTGTAAGTAAACATCGATCTAGTAAGCTTTCTTCTCTTTTGTTTTTGTCTTTGTTTAGTAAGTGTGGGACAGAGACAGTATGTGGTGGAGATGGAAGGAGATTCCTGTGGCATAATTTTCATGTAGTATATAATCAGACTAAGTTCTCTAGCTAAATATTTTAGTCCAAAGCCTAAAAAGTATGGCTAAAGCCATCCACCTAGCTTCGGGGCTTTTCTGGTGACCATTTATTTGTTTAACGTCCTTTCATGAAGAGTATTACAATTGTTTTTCAATCAACCAGTGATTATTAAATCCAGAGGTATCAGTTTATGTTTGTATATAGTAAAAACAGGCTAGAAACATGATCTAGGATCTGCTATAGAAACACTTGCAAAAAGAGCTAAACTTTGTCTAAGACAGGAAGTTGTTGTGTGGTTTATTATGATAAAATCATATACTACTACCCATTCTGGATTTAAAGGTCATCAATACTTTTTTCTCAAAGGACTGAGAATGGGGAAAAGAGTAAAAATCCTAGTAGAGGAGTTTTCTTGGCAACAAAACTACCTTTATCTTTTCAAAGTTTTATATGTGATATTTTAACTCAAAGTTGTTAAAAAAATATATACAGATATTATCATTCATCAACTATTTTCAACAAAGGAAAACATATGAAGTATCTACATTTTGTCAAACAATCTCTTATCCAAGCATTTCAGGCAGAAAGGTCGAGTATCTCTGAGTACAAGAATCACTCCATCAATTCAAGAAGATGAAATATTAGATGAAGACAGTTATATCCCAAAGATGGTCAACACCATGGCTTCACTAGAAAGTGAAAATAAGCTGGTGTTTGCTTATCATTTTTTAAAACTATTAGAGATAAAACATACAGGGAACTATAATAGAATGATAAAACTCCAGTTTATAATGGAAAGCTTAAAAAGTTTCAAAATGTTACAGGTGATTTTAATAGGTCCCTATAATATCATTTGTGTGTCTGTGTGAAAGACCAGTTTGGAAGTTATTTTTAAATAGCAAAAATTAAACTTACCAATAGACATTTGTACCCCATAATATGCAATGCAGCACGTAGTAGAGGAAGACAGCACTCAGGAATATAGCCACAAGGTAGCCTCTCATGGCTGGCTCTCCTGAAACACAAGTCCAAAGACAAGACTGTTATACAGTGTTTTTCCAATGGCTCAAATATAAGTACTTGTGAATAAACGTATAAAAAGGGAAAATTAGAAGAAAATGGTGTAGGCCGATTATTTTCAAAATGCCCACTAAATGTGCAGAAAGAGAATTTTGCTCTATCCTTCCTCAGTCTCTTTTATCAACACAACATAATGTATGCATAACCCAATAAACAGCTAAATTGTTTCAAAGCTAGTGGCTCCTTACTACTTTTCATGTTGGATAAGAAAGAAAAACATTCACTCAGAACAAAATTTTATACTGAAATTTGAAAGCTTTTTTCAGAAGCATTAATGAGTATCTATTTTTCTCTCTCTCAATAGAAAGTGAATGTATACCTTAAGATGTAAATATTTTTAGTCCTTGAAATGACTTTTAAGTGTTATGCATTACAATTTTACAAGTCCTTTTTCTAATTTTATAAAATATGGATAAAAGTGCTATTAAAAGTATTTCCCATATCCTCAATTTTGTTACACCTTTAGATGCACCTATGTGATTTTTCAATATCTTAGCACAGGTAGATTCAGTTAATTACATGCTTTGTATTAAATGTCATATAGTATAGTTCATCACACATTTGTAGACAGAAAAACCTTGATATAATCCTTAAATTAAAAAAAAAGACTTTAGAGAATATACATATTTTTAAAACCCAAAACATGTTTATGTAGTTCCCACTTTTATTTCAAAGACAGAAATAAATAAGTCCTCATTTCCCCATACAATTAAATGCAAAAGACAAACTTATTATATACTAGAGGCCTGGTGCACAAATTTGTGCATAGGTTGGGTCAGGCCAGCCCACCCCAATCTGAGTCAATTGGGGCAGGCCAGCCAGGGGAAGGGGCCGAGGGTGGTTGGCCCTGCCTCCAGTGGAGCTCCTGGTTGAGGGAACAATTTCAATACTAGCCTTTTATTATATAGGATGGTTCCACAATAGATCTTTTATTTCAATGATTGTGACTTTAAACAAGTATACTATCTCCCTTTCATCTCAATACATTTCTTGTTCATCTGGACAACTGCATGTACCGCTCCTCTCACTCCTATCCTCAATCAGGATAATGCAGCGTAGAATGTGTAAATGTGGTTGCATGCATTTCCAAATAATGTAATGTTGCCTCCCTTTTCATGGTAAAAATAAGTGTAAATGGAGCTCTTAAAATAAATCATCCCTTTGTCTTCCTAAGTAGAATACACTGAACATAATTTAAACTTTCCTTGATAATAAATGTCTTCTTAACAAATGTCATAATTGTGCTGTGCTCTATTCGAGTCAAGACCTCTGGAATTACTGAGCACGTGGGCTGTGCACTAACCTGTAGTGACTATCCAGTCAAGGCTGACAATCTTGCCTCCCAGGTGGCAGCTGGTGCTTCCCACTGCTAATAATACAGCCACCACCCCACATTCCACTGTGATAAATTAGTTAAAAATGAATGCTATGTCTGGGGAGAGCAAATAACTAAACGAGCAAACGTTGGTTTACACAAACTTCTCATTTAGTATACATAATCCTTGAGCAGCATCAACATCGGTTAGGAATCAGAAGACCACATAATTCCCAGCTTTGGGGACCTTAAGTAACTCTGTCCACCTGTTCCAACCTGGGGGCCAAATATGCATTTATCATCATTCCCCTCATATTTTTAAACAGAGGAAACCACATGTAGTATCTACATTTTATCAAACAATCCCCTTAACTCATGTGTTTACGCTTGAGAGCACACCACCAAAATGACAGGCATCTGTCATAAATGGCACAACACAGGACACAAAAAACATGTGCTGAGCATGTTTGGGTATTTTACTGTTGTTTGTTTTCTAACCGTACAGTGTGGCAGAGAGACTGTCCCATAATGAGACTGTGCCGGACGCACAAGCTGGACCCGGGGCCAGAAGAGAGAGGCTGCCTACTGCAACCACTTAGAGACTGATGGGAACTGATGTTTATTCTGACATAAATCAGCATCCCTGCCCCTGCCTCCACTTCATGCTGGTTCCTGGAACAGGCTGCTGTCCTGACATGGACAAGCATGTGATTTCCCACACCTGCTGGCATCCACATGCCGTACTGTGACTACCCTCGGACCCCCACCCCTCTTTGCTCTATATAATCCTTTGGCACCTGCCAAGTGGCTGCAGGAATTGATTTTGCCTTGCAGCCACCCTGGTCATGTCTCCTAGGTTAATTTCCCTTAATAAACTCTATTAATTGCCAAACTGGAGTGGCCAGCCTATTTCTTTGCCTTTTTCTCTGTCCTCCACCTTAGAGGTAGATTTTCTTTCTCTGTGCTTTTCCAGGGTTTGAGTATAGCTAGCAATTGGCAAGCCAGGCAGCAGGCAAAAAGACAAAATAAAAACAAAACAAACAACAAAAAACGGACTTTGGGAAAAGGGCATCTGTAGAGGAAATCCTAGGTTGGACATATACTAGTACATTCATGTGGGGTGGCCCCTATACTCGATACATGTGTGAGTACAGTGATGCCCCCAAAATGCCAGATGGTCTCAAACATCTGTGTCAAGGCAGGAAAAGTTATGGCCACAGGCTGGTGCCTAGTATGGGTGGTTTGACTGGCCACTGTCACCCAGCAAGAAGCCAGAGTTAGCAAAGTAGAAGGAGAACTGAAACTAGAAAAAGACACTGGAATATTTACACTCTGTTAGCTCAGGACGGCTGACAGAGGTGAGGGAGAAAAGACCCTCTGAGCAGAGCACACTCTCCTATGAAAGCCACGAGGTCTCTGTGTGCCATCTGTTTGTATGTTCATGTATGTCTATATACATGTTGTATTTGTGTGTGGTATTTTCTATCTTCAAGTGGTATTGCTGACTGGTAAAAGAACTTTAATTGGTTTAAAGGATTTAAGCACTAAATTAAGAATTGAGTATTCTAAAATTGTCAGAAATATAGAAACCAACCTAAATGATTTTCATGATCAAGAGACTTGGGAAAATATCTGATATTAAAACTACCTTAAGTTTGCTAGTTTAATTAAAACAAATATATCTTCACCTTTTGTTTTACCTAGGCTTATAAATATATCAACAAAAAATAACTTATAATGAAGGCTGATTTTATCTAAAGTCTCATCAAGTTTTGTGGGTAATCTAAACATAATTAAGAAATAATAAAATAGATTTAAGTAGAATAAAAGGCCTTTAAGTGATTGCTTTAGCAATAACTGTAGAAGGTTTACGAAAAGAAGCCTTTGAAGAAAATTATATTTAATGTGTGGTCAAGCTTGCCAAGATTAAAATGGATTTAATTAAGTAACAGAGTTTGGTTCTCTTTTTCTCAGTTAAAAAGACAAAGTTTTTGTTTGTTTGTTTTTTGGGTGTTTTTGTTTTGTTTTGTTTTGTTGTTTGGATTTGGGGTCTGCTCCTGATATTATAAAAAGTTTTCTGCTTAGAAAACAAGGATTCTATATTTTTGCAAAATAATTTTCTGGCCCAGCATGCTAAGTGGTTGAGCATCAACCTATGAATCAAGAGGTCATGGTTCAATTCCCAGTCTGGGCATACGTCCTGGTTGCAGGCTTGATTCCTAATGTGGGGCATGCAGGAGGCAGCCAAACAATGATACTCTCCAGTCATTGATGTTTCTATCTCTCTCTCTCCCTCTCCCTTCCTCTCTGAAATCAATACCAACATTTTAAAAATAAATAAAAATATAATTTTCTTTGTTTTAAGTTGTTTTAATCAGGTCTTTGATTACTAAAGAAAATGGAATCTTCTCAATAGTAAAAGTTAACCTTTTGCATTTGAAATGCCCTGGATGACTTTCAGCAAAAGGCAGTAGCAGCAAAATCTATAAAGATTATGGCACATATGGATGAAGTCCACCCTGCTTCTGTAAAGATGCCCCTCATTGCCAGACTTTTGCTGTCCTGATGTCCTTGTAATATGGCAGCAATCTGCTCCTGAGTCAGGGAAGTTAAGATGGGCAGACAAGTGTTGTCCATCAAACGAATAGTCAGGGCTACGAAAAACCGCTGGCTGGCCGCTTGGTTCTCCCAGGCTCCCTAGGAAACCTAGGTCTCAGTGTTTGTGTTCCTTTGTTCATCCTGGTGCCTTTAAGCAGGGCTTACGGTAATTCACCTGCAACTCCATCTACCTGGATGGCAATTACCATCCAACCATCCAGCAGATGTAGTTGGTACTGTTTTCCATTACATCCTTATTGGATGTATATCTTCTGGATGGGTTGTAGCCTTTCCTTGCTGCAAGGCTGATGCCCTCACAGTGACAAAGAACTGGGAGAAAATGTGTTTCCACTTGGGTCTGCCTTCCAGCTGCTCCCTCACCCCACCGTGTGCCCTGGGATGGTGGCTCTGGACCTGCACCATCTTCCTTCCCGACCTCTGTGAAGGATACTCATATTGATGACCTAATGCTAACCTGTGAAGATCTGCTTTGCGCAGAAAACTTTGCAGGCCTTCCTGAACTACCTACAGCAAGGAGGATGGGCAGGGAATATGCAGAAAATTCCAGGCCTGGGTGCTGCAGTAAAGTCCTTTAGTGTTGTATGAGACCTGCATTGTCACAAAGTACTAGCCCAGTGGTCAGCAAACTCATTAGTCTACAGAGCCAAATATCAACAATACGATGATTAATATTTCTTTTGAGAATCAATTTTTTAAACTTAAACTTCTAATGCCACTTCTTCAAAACAGACTCGCCCAGGCTGTATTTTGTGGAAGAGCCACACTCAAGGGGCCAAAGAGCCACATGGGGCTCACGAGCTGCAGTTTGCCAATCCCGGTACTGCCAAAAAAGAAAAAAAATGTGAAAGAGAATTTTTGTGGAATTCTGGGGGACTGGTAAACATTTATGCCTCACGTAGCAGAATGCCTTCAATCATTATATTGTCTAGTTAAGTAGGGACATATGTGGGAATTGGGAGCCAAACAACAGGCTGCCTTTGAGAAGATAAA